CCCCAAAACCCCCAAAACCCCAAAACCCCAATTGGCAAAAATGTATAAAATTAAATGAGATTAGTTAATAATATAAAATTATAAATACAGAGGACAATAAATCAATAGCATCACATGTAATAAAGAATAAAAGCTAAGGTACTTAAAATCTATAAACTTATCATAATTCGTGTAGAGGTTAATTAATGAGAGGCCTAAAGCATCAAGATGGGAAAATGCAATGAATAAACTCAAGACTTTGGATTAGTTTGGTTAATCTGTTCAATTGACGTATCAAGGGGAAGATACTTTCAAAACAATGATAGGTGCCATGTTTTCAGTTATTCTAATCATGATATTGCTAGGGTTTGGAATTTTCAAAGCTTATTATCTATTCCGATGATACAACCCTGAAATATCAAAGATATCCTTACTTAGAGATATGTAAGATGGATTAGGCTTTAGACCTTAGGAATAAGGCTTTGATTTTGCTTTTGGATTGAACAAGGATCTTGATTCCTCTATTGGCTATTTCACAGTACGGCAAGTAGATATTTATGAAACTAATTAACTTGATTAAAATGGTAAGAATGTGAAAAGTAAGAACCAAAGAGATCTAAAATTTAGTAAATGCCATGATCATCATTTCAACTACGGTAACTAGAGTGAGATAGCTGCTAAAGGCATATCAAACCTCAATTGTTTGACATAAGATGATTATCAATTCAAAGGCAACTATTACTCAAAAGATTTTGAATATTTAGAGATTAAGCTGTGGAAATGTCAAAATTCATCTTTATCAAGTATACCATTATAAAATAATTAAACAGCTGTTTGTAAGTCTCGTTCAGTAATAGACAACTTCTTTGAGTCAGAGATTTTCAATTTTGCTTTTGTTAACACATTTTTTGATTTAACGGATTATTCATATGAAAACCAAATTAAGAAGTTTATTGATGACTCCCTCTTTTTTGAATTAGAGTCTCAAAGAATTAAGAAAACTAATTTTTACATTTAAAGACAAGAAGCAAACATGCAAGATGATTATATACAATTCGGGTAATCATAGACAAGGCAGTTTCATCAAATCAGCAATTAAAGAAGCTACGATGATTCTTACTCTGATCAACAAGGATACTTTATTGCACTTTTTCTGAGATTAGACAATAGATATGATAAGTATTCAAGGAAAATCTACTCAATTTTGGAGCTGCTTAGTGAAGTTGGAGGTCTCTACAGATCACTATTTGCTATTGGGCTAATATTTGTTGGTAAAATTGCTTCGAGATTATTCTTGAGTGATATTATGAATAAGATTTATTAGGTGAGGAAACATATCAATTTTAATCATGGTGAAGAAGACAAATCATTTCAAGAATCTAATAAAAGGCCAAAGCACAATTAAAAAGTAACTACTGAAGATAAAGAAAAAATTTAGGTTTATCCGAGTTTAAATGGACCAGGAAAGTCTAATTTTGAGATTGGTGATCGACTGAACTTGAAAACGATAGAAGGTGAAGATCACCAGCTGTAGACAGATAGAGATGATATAGAATTAAACTAATAGTAGCCCCTATAGATAATTGATGGAGAAAGGTTAAATACAGATGATGACCACTAAACAATCAAGAGGTCAAAGACTTTGAAAGATAAAGAAAACTATCTTTCGAGACATTTCAAAAATATCTAGAACGTTACTATTATCGAAATTCGTGAATTATTAGAATCATTTGTGTAAAGAATGCGATTCACCTATAACTCAGGTCAAATCTTCCTATATGTATTCAAATGTTTCTGCTGCAGAGACTTGAAGAAATACAGATACAAGAAGCAAGTGAGAAAGCACTATTTGTACTAGAAAGCAGAAGAAAAGCTCGGAATGGACTTAGATGTTATACAGATGATAAAAACTCTAAATAAGTTTAAATTGTTCTCTCAATCTGCTTTAAGCTAATAACATAGAATGCTACTTAGATTCTAAAGATAGAGTTTAATTGAAACATCTTCTGAGTCTTCAAATTCAGATGACAATCACTTAGATCCTTTAAGACTAATGGAAAGTTAAAACCCATTAGTGAGATTAGTAACATTTGGGAAACTAAAGAAAATGATGTCATCTCTTAAAAACTAAAAGCTTAAGCCAATTGAGAAGAACTTAATGAGAGGAGTCTTTAAAAGAAAACTTAAAGATTACGAGGAAGATAATAGAGAGTAGAATAGGAAATTTACATTGATGTAAAGGCTGTGTAACTTAGACGAAAGATTTATAACTTATACTAATTCTCCTGCAAAATCTGATAGCAAAAATGAAGTTAGTAAGTTTTAAGATTCTTTGATGAGTGATGACTTAAGTGATAAAATTGTGATCGATGAATTTGATGAAAAAGAATTAGATATAAAGGCGAAGGATTACAGCAACAAAACAAAAATAAAAAGCTTTTGAAATTTAGATTAAGAGATTATTTATTCATAAGAAATTTTATCATAACCATTAATACTTATTTCCATAAAAGCAAAAATTATGGAGAATGGGGTTTTGGGGTTTTGGGGTTTTGGGG